CCTGCATACAAATCTGTTGTATTTAGAACCTTTAATATATTTATTTTGGCATAGTTTAGGTCTGTATGCCTGCATACGAACCTGGTGTATGTAGACTTAAATTATTATTTATTTTGGCATTTTTCAGCCAGGTATGCCTGCATGGATTCTAAAACCTTATTCTGGATACATGTTTGTAGTGGCAAGTCTGTATGCCTGAATGCTAAGCATTTACTGTGTAGTAACATTTCTTATTTACTATATACATAAATAAGGAGATGTGTATGATTGTGAAAGAGACATATCTCCATCAAAGGCTGAATTACATGGATGTAAGGAATTACTTATGTATAGCCTTCAACTTCGTTTGAATTTGAAAGAAAGCTCTCAATTCTTAACTGCAACACTCAGGGGTTTATTCCTGTATATCAACCCGCTTTTCAATAAACTCTTGTGAAAAAAATGGAATTCATAGGTTTGCTTGTCGGCATACCGACCTATAGTCCTATACACATTTGAACATGAAAGTTTTCATATTTGTTTGACATTTTCAGTTCACGGTATTCTTGCATATAACACTGGTGTACGGTGAACACTTATTTTTTTTTACTTGGATATATACAAGATTTGATTGCTGTATACCCACCTATGTTCTATTGGATCATAGTTTTACATACATTTAAGTATTGTCCAACCAAGCTGGTGTTCAATGAGCTAGTGTAATTGTGTAGGGTTTGCCTCCAGTCTAAAATTTCTGCATATTTGGTGGAACTTATTGGATATTTAGCAAGCTGAACGGTTTGCATTCTAACTAGCCGTATGTTGTATTCATATTTTAAATTGTAAAACTATTATTTTTCATCATGCTCTAAGTTAGTAACTTCAATTGATGGATAGAAAATGGAACTGTCTTAAAATCTGATATAGATGGCAATATGCATACTTAATAGATAGTGATACAGCAAAGTTTTTAAGTCATTGTGTTTGCATTTCTGCCTGTCAACATGGTGTATGACAAAGTTCTTGTTTGGTATTTTTTTAAATGCTTTTAGGGGGGATGTCTGTATACAATTTGCTGTAAAAAGATGTATGCCAAACATGCATGTATTTTAATTATCGTTAATTTAAACAATTTGCAATGATCTGTCTTGACTGCATATCATAAGTCGGTATCTAACTGGATTGGCTTAGATATGAAAATTAGTGAATTTATAGTACTATACTATAGTAAAAATTATGTATACTGGCATATACACTGGAGTTATGAAAATAAATCCTTCAATCAGGAAAGTCAAAGAATTGATGCTTTTTCTAGGTGTCGTCCTTTTCTAGTGAAGCTATTTTTACTTTATAAGCAGGAACAGCAAAAGGTCAGGTGCTGTTCATTGGTGTCGTAGTTTTCTAGGAAGGCATTGGTTTAACCTATCCAGTCACTAAGAAGTGTTACAATTCAATTCATAAGCAACACATAAATAGTTACATGAAAGGTATAGCCACTGTTTGAAAAATGCTGAAACGAGAAATTGAAACTACATATTATATACGTATATTTATACTGCACTCGTTCTATTTGAGCAGTCAAAATGCGTTGACCGTATATTTCTATGTCATATACAGTCACTGACCTGATATCACTTTTCCTCATGAATATTTAAATAGAAATTGCCGAAATTATAATTAATTATTCATACGACCTATTCAACCTGTTCTTGTTTCCAATGTATACAACGACTTAAACTTATTTCTTTTGCAATTTTTAGAAAAAAAACATATTTCACTTGTTAATATTTTTGGTTTGCAAACTATAAATCATTATGTTTTATGCTTATTGTTGATATTTTAGTTCATTCTCAAACAAATTCGTTCACCATCGATTGCGGGTTTCAACAGGTAATGTACATTTCATTGTGTTGTATATTTCTCCGCCTGCATGATATGAGGCCTTTTTATAAAAGGGGGAAGTTTCCCAATATTTGAATCAAATAATAACATAAACACATTAAACAACAATTGAAAATGTTTTTTTTATTAGATTGCAGTATAAAGACAATAATAGTGCATTGACTTGACATATTAACGATATAAGGATTCGGCCCGAAACGGGGAAAAAGCTCGGCAGAGCCTCGCATTTCCCCGTTTCTAAGCCTCATCCTTATATTGTTGATATGTCAAGGCGATGCACTATTATTGTCTATATATATGTAAATATTATACACTTCATAACTTTAACATTATCGCAGTTACTGATTTTAGAATTTATTGAACTAAGGGTTCTTAGTGGTTGAATTGAAGTCGTTCCCTTGAAAGTTTTTTTGTAACCATGCATATGATTGAAGATCAATGAAATATGTAATTTCCTTAATAACATTCATTTTTCCAATTTGAACACTCTTGAAATGTGCTGTTCAGATCCTTTCGCAATAAATATATGTTTGATTTGTTTGAATTACTTCTTTTTTGTTTTTTATTGATCACTAAATTTCAAAAGTTTTCTGTCTGTCTTTCGATTTTGTTGATAGTTTTTCATAAATTACCCTGTAACAGCTTCTTACATACACACATCACAGAATGCTGCATGATCATGTGCCAAATGTACTCTACGGTTTTCCAAAACAAGGAGAACATCATACAACCTCCTTGTAAAAATAAGGAGATGTGGGATGAATGCTAATGAGACAACCATCCACCAAAGTCCAAATGAAGTGGATGTAAGCAAGTATAGGCAACCGTACGGACTTCACCAATGAGAAAAAACCAATTTCGTATAGTCAGATGATAAAAGGTCCCAACATGAAAAATAAGAAACAATGCATTTGAGAAAACTAACGACCTAATTTATAGCAAAACAATTTACGAAAAAGAAATACGACATACATGAACCAATTATTAATGACATCTTCAACTACAGGCTCCTGACTTGGGACAGGCACATAAAGACTAGTGTGGCCGGTTTTAACATGTGAGCGCTCAACCCTCGCCCTTACCTGGGACAGTTGTTTCCCTAAGAATTGTTAGAATAAGAACTGAATGGGTTAACTGAAGGACATTGGTCATGCATTTTGAAAATCTGGATAGGGGCTGAATTTCAATTTAAAACAAAAGCCGGGAGACTTAACTCAGTGGCAGATCCACAGTTGCATATGGGGGATGGGGGTGGACACTGACTACCTCAGAGATGGATCGCTCCAGTCATGCTTTCCTCAATAATCAACCAATTTTTTCCCACAAAGCACCCCCTCAATCCGCCTCTGGAACTAATGCAAGGAGACATCACTGTGGATGTACACCTAATCGTATTTCCCATTCATTTTTTTTCTCTAAATGCTTTCGGGGTGGGTGGGGGGGGGGGGTGGTTGGGGGGCGGGGGGGTAGTCCAAATACTTATGACGTCTTGCAAGGCTATTTTGGTTTTTTTTTGGGAGGGGGGGCAGCTTGATAGTTAGCCACACGATGTCCTGCATGAAATTGATTGAAGTGGACAAACCTCTTGAGAAAACACAATTAGCATCTATAATCAATAATCTTATTATATAAATAACAGTTTTCAGGTCGGATTGAGTCAATTTTAAAAAAGGGGGTGTTCTATTAAATTCGTGGAAAATGTACAAAAACAGCGAGGTTTACTTACCTTAAATGTACTAACATTCTGTTTTGCTTCTGGTATATTAAAATTTAGATGATAATAGAGCGTACTTTTCAATGAACTGTCCATTTTCTTCTCCGTGACGGGAACTCCGTCATTGATCATTCTAATTGTTTACATTTAGAAATGACGTCATATAAGAGCGCGTGACATACGATGTTATTAGAGGTCATTCAACGCAGATAAATAGTCCATTTGTTCTTTGATTTTTTATCAATTACCAATACAAAGTATAAAAAAACTATTTTGTTTTGTAATTAATTGCTATTATTTTAATTAAGTGTACTGGTGAAAGTAGCTCGCGTAAGTCAAGGCCCTCATTGTGCTATCCGTCTGTAATTCCCTCCGCCTTACGTCACAAGGTCCCTGACGTCATTTAAAGTTTTGTCAACAACTTGGAACCTTGCAGTACAAATTATGATGGCCTCATTTTTCCGTAATTTTAATTTGCAAAAAACAAAACAGATAACTTGCATGTCAATATGAAAGTGATCATAGTCGTGGAACTTGAGAATCGGTTTTCATTTTTAGATTTACAACAGTAAACGCTTTAACAGTTTGCTTTGCAAATTAACGCTTTTCTGTTTACCTATGGGGAGAAAATTTAAGAGGTCAGTCGTAGACTTGTAGTTTAAAAAAAATCGAAATCGGTGTTAAAACACAACTACTGAAGTAAAGGATTTTGGCAACACCATGTTTGTATGCTCTACTGATTCGAATGCATTACATTGAAGATTCTGGAAACATCCAGGTTCGTATGCTGGCATACAGACCTGCGAAATACAACATTTGATTCAATATTGGCCGTTCTGCATACACCAGGTTCGTATGCAGGCATACAGACCTGAGAAATACAATGTATAAATTAAATGTAGACTTTAGCATACACCAGGTTCGTATGCTGGCATACAGGCCTGAGAAATGCAAGTTAATTTATTAAGATTCAGTTCAGCATTCCCCAGGTGTTCAATATGCCAGATTCTCGATTTTCAAATGTTTGATAAAAAGAAAAACGTGTTTTCCTTTATTTTTCTCGTTTTTGCATACTTTGTCTTATGAGCTATAATTCGACATATTTGAATACGAATTATGGCAAATGACCGTGAATGAGAATTTTTAATTTTAGATGAGAACGTATTAGTAGTGATTTCATAGGATTACACACACCTTTTACTTTCTGAGATTTCGACTTGGTAGAAGAAAACTTAATTTGGTATGTTGCAGTTTTAAACGTGGTTGTTCCCTAATCTCCTAGTCCCTGTAAATCAATTCAAATTTCATTATTTTTTGAAAATCCAGTGTGTTCATTTATTAGTACAAAGTTGGTACATGACGTCATGATCTTCAAACTGAAGGAAAAAAAGAAACATTCCTCGAATCTAATTTGCATATCTTCAATATTGAGGCTCCAATATTCCTTGCCCGTTGTTAGCGCTTTAATATAATATTTTCAACCGCGACCAGCAATGACGGGTGATCGTTTGAAACATGATGTATCCAGCGACGTCGGAAGGTCAGATGGTAGATCTGGAGTAACAAGACGTCGCCTGGCAAAACCGACTTCTCTTAGAGAAAACGGATCTTTAAAATTTGAAAACGACCTTGCATTGGCGCTGAAAGAAAGTTTAAAGTATGCTAAACAAATGGATAGCGAACCCAAACCAATGGAAGATTCGTCTATTAGGAGAAACAACATTGAAAATCAAAAGAACGAACTAGAAACGAAGTCTTCCATCTCATCCAGAATGGATACATTGGGTGAGATGCAGTTGAAAGAACTTTTAGTGTTGCATATCGATCTCATTCAACACCAACAAGAGTTGGTTATACAGAAAGACAGACAAATCAAACAAATCAAACAAGAGAGGGATAATGTAAGTATCTGATCATCAGTCATTGTAACATGTGTAAATAAAATTGCCAAACCACAGAGTTGTTTATTTTGTACCTTTACTCAATATTTTATAGTTTTGTTTTCGAACTCCCCATATTTAGTTCACAGCGATATCAGCTGGACTATTATATATTCTACTGTTGACACAACTGCAATATTTACCGATGATTTCAATGTAGTAAATCATTGATTACATCAGCCGATTTATCAAGAAGCTGAGCTTCGATGCAAAAATGCCTTTAAATGGTTAATTTTTCATACGGATAAATTTGATTAATATTGCAAAAAGGAGGTTACTGAGGTGACGCGTTATTTATTTTACTATTATAACCTGCTAAAAAACAGGACGAGTATATAACATGTCTGACTTATTTGAATGCCAACAAATGCCAAAATAGAGGGTAAAACCACGTGATTGATCATGTGACCAAACCGCACGCTATTGTGTGTGAATACGAAAGCAAAACAAGATCTGACAACTCACAGATATTACATTATTGTGTATATGGGTAAATCAGTCTCCATGCCGAAAAATTTCACGAGGAACTTCAAGAAAATATTAACAAGATCATCAAACGTTCAGGTAAACTGCAGAACAACGCAAGGTGAACAAAAACAAACAAAAATGGCAGACGGTCAGAAATGTCCAAAATGGCTGCAAAAAGACGATACATATAATTTAAGTTTATTTAAGACTATAAATATATATTGATAGAAAATTATCAAGAATAAGATTTTCTTCATTAGATCAACTGTTCTGGTAGAGTTTAAAATGAAGATCATTGTCGAGCTCACGTAAATACTGTTCATTTGATCGTTAATCGATGTACGTACTCAAGAAACAAAGAAAGGTCAAATGTTCTTGTTGTCTACATAATGTACAGTTCACTGCAATTTAGAGCTTATAGAACGTATTGTGTAGTTAATTGCCTTTCTAGGAATAGCAGGTATGGGACAGGGGTATTGATTTGCAGAGTAAAACAATGGGTCATGTGATTACAAACCACTTAAATTTCATTCACTTTAATAATAATATAAAGTGTGAATCAATGAAATCAAAACTAATTATGGTATACTTTGTTTAAACTATTTTCTTTAAATTTTTAGATGATGATTGAAAATTATAATTGATTGTAATACACGAGATTCCAACTTTGTTTTTATGAATGAACTGCCCCGGTAAATTGATTTCTATACACAAGATTCCAACTTCTTTATTATGAATGAACTACCCCGATTGACCTGGGTCCTTTGTGGGGGGGAAGTGTCACAGGCCATTGTGAAGTCTGTTTTCCCCGGAAAAGGCAGTGATTGGAAGATCATGTATTATTCTGCTCAATCTTGGCATCATGATTGGCAAAAAAAATATTCCTTGTATTGAAACCACACAAAGATTGGCAAAATCTATTCAGAATCCAAATATTTTTACTACTGAAATTATTTGTTCAGTGCCAGATCCAAGATTTCCAAAAATCTACTAGAAAATTTTTTTTTTGCCACTATTTGATTAAATGGGTTGGGGCTGGATCCATACCTGAATAATATGCATAATTTATGTTGTCCTAAGTAGAGCTTTGGAAAAAATAGATCTTTAATACATAATTGGCTCAGATTCATATCAGAAAATAAACAGATTGTATGTTCTAAGGATTACTGTTTATATTCTTATTTTTTGTGTCAGAATAGAATCTGCCCCAAGTGGAGGCTGCATAGTTTCAGGGGAGGTTATTGTTAATGTGATAATGAATATTCAATGACCAGTTTGGGTTATGATAACATTGTATTTATGAAGAGAATCAATCGCACAACTAAAAATTTCAACAACAAAAAAACTTGAGTATATTACTCATAAAACATCAAAGGAGTAGGCCCAGTAAGACCCCTTTTTGGCCCCAAAATATAGCAGTTTTACAAAATTGTTAAAATGTAAATTTTTAGCTATTTATTGGAAAGAAGAATACTTCTGTTACATAAATATGGGCTGTTTTTGACAATACAATGCACATGTATCGGATACTAGCATCATTAAGTCATGCTAAATTACTGAAATCTTCGAAATTTTAGCATTTTGGTTAATTTTTAGACGGTTTCCGTCTGAAATGGAAGTGGCCGCATCTGTGTTCATTCTTAATATTTAGATGTAAGTTGTATTTGATGATAATACATAACATATATAAAGGTTGAGAATCACTTGAGATGCGGCCACTTTCATTTTTGACAAAAACCATCTGAAAAGTGACATATTATGGCATATTTGATAGATTTTTCATATTTAAGCTTGAATTTGGGCGTCTTTAATGACTAAATCAGTTCAAATCTTTCACATTAACTAATTGAATCGACTGCAGTAGACACTTAAATGTTTAAAAAGTGTCCAAAATCTTTCATCAGATGAACCTGAATTTTGAGGCCAAAATCGGCCTTTACCGGACCTACTCCTTTATTACAAAATGAATGCTTTGTAATCATGGTAATTTTCAAAAGAAACATAATATAAACGTTTGTATTTTGTCAGAGTCTAGAAATAAATACAAATGTATGTACTGCCTTCATTTTCACTGCTTTAATTTAGCTATTGGTAGGGTCTCACTAAGGATTTTTGAAGGCGAGTCCAGGGACTCCTTAATGTTAATGTGATAATGAATTGAATGAATGAATCAAAATTAAACTGCAGTGTATACAATCATGCTAATATAGAGCCTCCAACACAACTGTTGCAACTTGTACATGCATAAATATAATTATGATACATGATTGTACATACTACATGTATATACATGAAAGTCTTGCAGTATTTCACTTCCTCCAGAAGCACATAAAATCATTTTTTGGATATTGTAAATTCACAAATTATTGCAATGTTTTTATTAATGGGAAAAATGTGATGGTATCAGGATTGCAATAATAAAAACTGGCATTCATCATGTTCATGATTTCAGTAGTGATGTTCCTTCATAGAATTTATGCAATTACAATTAATGTTGCATCGCGTGAACCAACACCTTATAACGGTACAGGCTGGTAGAGAGTAATCAGGATGGATACCGGGAGGTATGCTGCGGGTGTCTTAAAACCTCAGGAAAATAATGCTACACAAAGACAACAACATCGTAGATTACTGCAAGGAAAATCTTTATTATGGTCTACTTGCAATTATGAATTAAAATTAATGATTAATTGGGCCACAATTATGCCAGTGATCAAGGAATTGCAATAATAATTTAATAAATGCACACATTAAATTCTGAATTTACAGTAGGTTTACATTTTTACAAACAAACCTAGATTTGTAAGTTATACCACTAAACAGGACTCAATTCACAGAATAATTTTTAAAAACATGATGACCTACAAAAATCCAAGTTAAAATCTGTAGCTTGTAAAAGGGGAAGGCTCTCTTTAAATTTTTGATAAGGAAGAACTCCATTCAATGTAGGAGGAGATGTAGATAATAGGTGACAGCAGATGGACATAGTTATTACTAAATAACCTTACTTTTGCTGAAGTTGCAACAAAATGAATAAGGAATTATTAATAATGGACAGACATGCCTATTACAATATCTCTGGACTTTTTTTTGAAACTTGTATATAAGGTGGCAAACATGCACCCCAATATAACTACAGAAGGATAAGTGATAATCACAATAAAACAGGTAGAATTATAGTATTTTCATGCGAAAATATTTTTACTCTTTCCAAATTTAAGTGACGAAATTGATTTGGAATACTTTCGTCATTTTGAAAACCGTTTCGTAAATGACGAAAATGACGAGCTCTAGCAAAATCACTGAGTGATTTCTGCTCCACTATTGACACCCATTGAGCTGCTGACAATAAAAGTCAGATAGTAAAACCAAGTTAGAAAACTAGGAGGGGTTCAGACATACAGTTATCTATAACAGAGAAATCTGTTCACACAATTCTTTGTGTGACTTCATCAGATGGCAATATGAATACTTAAAATCATTGCTAAAAATAGACATTCTTATTCAATTCAGCTATGGACATGTATTTTAGAGATGTGTTTTAGTTTATATAAAAGTATATTTAATAATAATAAATTAATTTTGTCTTTTTTTTTTGCCATGAAACTATCAACGCCTTTAAAGGGCATACAAAACAGTATATTTTTCTGACACTTCAGTGTCAGTTCTAAGATATTGGAAAACAAATTTTGAATAAAAGAAATGAAGTAATAAGAATCTTTTTTATAACTAGCAAGTTGTCAATATCAATGCACACATACTTTGCATTATTTAGAATAAATTCATTGATTAACAATTTGTTAGGAAAATAAGAAACATTTAACAGAGCTTTCTTCTCCCAAGGGCCTTTTAGCATCATGGTAATGTGATTCTATATTGCTTGAATGTGATGCTGTCTGAATAGTACATGTAGTACAGAATACTAACTTTACAGATAGTCATACAGCGTTGCCATTTAAATGTCATTATTTGCAAAATTTAACAGACAAGGCAAGTACCTATCTCTGTGTCAAAGATAAGAAAAAATCTCTTTGTTAACAGTTTACTACATGTATTTGAACCTACTGAGACCATGTATGCGATATTTGCATACCATGCCACTTCAAAAATAGAAAAAACTCAAAAAAATTCTGACCTTTATTGAGAAGGTTCTCGTCATTGATTGTATTTTCAGTTTTGTAAATATTTTTAAAACTTGTTAGTTTTCATTGGGCATTTTAAAGTAGATAGATAAGGTTATGTGTTGTACTGCTTATTTTTTTAAGAAATTCTCCCACAAGTTCATTAAAGGTGTTTTCTCAATATTTTATAGGAAAATCAGTGTATAATAAAGATGTTTGCAACATTCTGCATGCAGCAAATGTAGGTCATGACTCAAAAATGTTTCTCTTCAACAAAATACTTATTTTGGGACTTATTTAATCACAAATTTTAATATTCTGTTATTGCAAAGTCTAAATAAACAAAACTAGATACAATAGAACATTCTCTTCTGAAACTGTACCAACCCCTATATGAATCTAGGTTGCACTTCTGTAAATATGACAATGCAATTTCCCATAGGAACTCCTTTTACGGCCAAAACTCTGTCTGAAGTTTCGTTAAAAAATTTCTCTAATTCTTCGTCAATTTATCCCTTTCTGCACCCATTGTATAAAAAAAATTTAATCAACGTGTGGTTCGTTTGATCTCAGTTCTTCATTGGTTAAAATCCGATTATGACATCGAATTTTCTTGCTCTGAATTTCCTATTGTGACGGCATGAAAAAAGGCGACCATGCCTGATGACGTCACATAGAAAGAGCACATCTTTTTGCAGATCATTCGAAAAGAATGAAAAAATTTGCCTGCGTATTGTTTGAAATCATTAGAGAAACAGATTCCACCACCAAATCTCTTGTAATACGATATTTATCCACTCTCGACAGTTAAATTTTAAATATTTAAAACGCTCAGCAAGCCTCGCGTTTTAAATTTGAAAATTTAACTGTCTCGAGTGGATAATTATCGTTTCACACTCGATGCAGTGGTAGAATCTATATATATCCTAGAATGGAAAGTTTATATGCACTACTGTTTTTTTCAAAGGTCAAAACATGGGGCTGTGCGGAATATTTTCAACATTTTTATGCCCCGAGGTTCGATGAATTTAAACTTACATTAAAATTCTGTACTACCCCTCCCTTCACTTTGTACCTCAGAATTCAATTTGGCTGCTATCCATGTGTATTTATACAAGTTACATCTCTGAGATGAAACAGAGATCATATCTGGGAACCAGTACGTAAACAAAACAAAATATCTATGAATATTATATATCTCCCCAAAAGAGGCATGGTTTGTGAAACAGTTGTATTTACAAAGTGCAACCTCTAGGGTTTAATGAATAGTATCAATGTTTATAGGATGGCCATATGTTTCTTTCATTTTTCATCTGAAACTTTTTCAGGCATGTACAAATGTATGTGTAGAAGCAGTGGAAATTATCAATGCTGGTATATTTATGTTATTTTACAGCTAAAATGTAGACTAGATCGGATGGAAAGACGAATGTCTCTACTAAAGCATAGAATACCTGATGTAGAATTAAGTGAAAGCCCTACAAGACAAAAAGGTGATCATCATCCATCTACACAGTGTTTGTCTGAAAATTTACCATCACATACAACAGAGAAGTCATTGAAAAGGTAACAAGAATTGTTGGGAAAATAATGTGAGGAAAGTATGATGATAAAAAATAAATGAGGCCAAAGACACAAAGGGGACATTTAAAACTCATTTAGTCAAAGAGTTGCTGACAACACCATGGAAAAAACCAACATAAAGAGAACTCTGCAAAACACTACATAGAAAACTAAAGACTTAGCAACACAAACCCAACCAAAAACTGAGGGGTTAACCAAGTGATGAACTGACCCATTTGAGAAGGTTTTTGTAAAAGTTTAAAAAATTATCAACATGTATGATGTATGCCAAATGATTGCAACACCAAACAATGACCCTTAATGCCTTGTGAGTTGAAAATCAAACACTGGGGAAAATATCTTTTAATTTTGGTCAGTTAAAAGGGTAGTAGTGTGTGTGTATGTGTATTTAAGTATTTAAATTTATTTTCTGAACATTTAGCACTCTCCATCAATATATCATGCTCATGATCCTATTCAGAGAGCAGAGAAAAACATTTGTTTTAAAAATTCTCTGTTTCAGTGGTCTATATTCTTCTTGCCTTGTTCGATTTTAAAGAGTTTTGGAGATGGAAGTGGGGTCTCTTTGCAGAACACAGACTTTGCCTTCCACTAATGTAACAGGTTCCACACAACATTAGGATTGTTTAAATGAGAAGTCATAAAATACTTTAGGAGTATAAAGATAGCACTCCTATTGTAATAGACTATTTTCATAATACCGACTTTTGACTCCGGATTATATAATTTGTCAACTGGTTACCTTGGACATCATGGTACTCGGTCAAGTAAGAGCAGCCAAAATAAGTAAAATCAAACATATAATCGGTGTAATTTGAGGGGAAAGTTTACTGTTTTCCGATGATTTTGAAGTGAAAAAAATATTAACCAGGTAGTTTTCCCCCAAAATTGTACCAATTGAAAGCTTGGTTTTACTTCTTTAGCTTGCTCTTACCTGACTTGGTACCATGATGTCCAAGGTAACCAGTCGAAAAATTATATTATCTGGAGTCAAAAGTTGGTAATTTGAAAATAGTCTATTGATTGGTGTTCTAACAGAAACTGAAAAAACATGAAACAAATTGATTTTGTAACATGATCTTCTCCATCACTCGCAAATTCATTTAATTGACTTGTAGAATCATTTACGCAATCCTTATTCCATAATTCTATTTTCAATTCACTTGCCTCTTTACTTTACTAGGTTGTATTCTTCATTTGTTTAGAATATGAGCTTTGTCGTCAGCTCGTTTGCAAATTTGGTATTGTATAAACAAAATGACAATCAAATAAATTAAATTAAGAGTTCTTCTGTTAGAAACACCTATAGCTTTACTTCCATTCTTTCCATCACTACTATTAGGTGTTTCAATTGACACTAAACCTTTATCTCAAGATAGATTAGCCAGTTAGACATTTCAGTGTATCCACATCTTTCAATGCTTGTATATTAATCTATTTATAATTGTAGGAAAAGAGCCAGTTTTGAACCACAGAATCTCGGTAAACGTTTTGTCACAGATTTAAGTGTAGATAGTAGGAACAAACCAACAGACACTAAATTACAACCAAAAGTTGATAGGACTAACAGAAGTCGTAGTAGAACTTTCACTATACCTACAGAGGAAATATATAATGCTTGGGGATACAGGGCAAGACCTGGTCAGATAGCTGCAGATCCTAGTATGCTTAAGGAACTTCAAAAAAGAACAAGTATTAAGAAAACAGACAATGTGGACAATAGTGTTTTACGTACAAAAGACAATTATCACATTTCATTTTATCAACCGGTAGCAGAACATATTGAAATAGAAAATAAACCTGATTTGCTAAAAGGTGCTCAGTCTCAGTTAACAGGTGGGTAAATTACTTTCTGGATTATAATGTATTTTTCAGGTACATTTTTGGTACTACATGCATGTATGTGGAATTGAAACCTAAAGATAAATTATTGCCATTGCATTATTACTGGTATTTGATTTAAAAGAAATCAACCACATGTATCTTTGACACTTGGTCAAATACAGTATTGTACATGTCATAACATTTAAAGTAAATGCTGCAGAAAGGTTGATTTTAATTGTATAACATACCAGTGAGTAGATTAAGAGATAGTCAATAAGATTGTCTACAAATGGTAACTATTACAAGATATTTGAAATAATGCTGAAATAGAAATATTATTTGTTTGTAATTCTTTGGATGAATTTTGATATTTATTAAATACCAGGTAAATGACATAGCAGAAAATTAGGATAAATCTCTGACCTAGAATACAAAGAAAATATATTTGTATTTATATATGAGTTGGTTGGTAAAGGGCAAATATTTATTGAGTGTTTTCTTAAAAGCTGGAAGCTATCTAAGTCTTACTTTATGATGATATATAAAAATAACGAGATGTGGTACATCTACATGTATGATCGCAAATGAGACGACTATCATCCAGAGTCCAAATGACATGGATGTCAGCAATTATAGGTTACAGTTTTGGCCTTCAACAATGAAAAAAAAATATACATGTACCATATATATATATATATATATATAGTCAGCTATAAAAGGCCCCGACATGACATAAAAATGTGAATCAATTCAAACCATATAATGAACGGCCTTATTGATAACAATGCAACTTGCAAGAAAAATAAATATGACAGACATGGACCAATGACAACCACTGAATTACATGCTCCTGACTACGGACAGACACACAAAGAATGTAGCGGATTGAACATGTTTGTGAGCGCTCAATCCTCCCCTAACCTGGGACAGAGGTGTATACAGCACAATTTAAAACAAACTAAAAAATAAGTTGCAAATGGCCAAATTTAATAGATAAAAGCACAAAAACATAATATAAATTAATGCCTGTCAATTATGAATGTTATAAAATAAAAATCATCACTAATGATCTGGTTCCTTTCCATAAATATAAAGTGTTAATACAAAGATTGTTGGTTGCTGAACTTCCAGTGGAAAATGTTAACACACAGATATGTCTCATCTGTACATGTGTGTAATTAATATCGTGCAATGAAAATGTTTCAGGATGATTACCATAATCAAATACTTTCTATTAGATTGCAAACTTTGTGGATATATGGTCACATAATATACATGTAATGAGAGATAGATCCCTATTGATTTTGAGGTCACTATGTCCAAGGTCAAGGTCAAAGTTACCAAATATAGACTGAAATAAATACAGGAAAGAAGTTTATGGATTGTAAATCTAGAACCTTTATTGGGACATTGGAACCAAACTCAAATATCAATGGTCACATATAATGAGTATTTATTTCAAGATCACTGTGACCACGGTCAAGGTTAAAAAAAGGTGCAAAAAAGTTTTCTTAATAATAGCTCAAGAATCTTAAATGGTATTGCAAGTTAATATGCTTTAATGGTTGCATGTAATGACAGGAGAATCCTTATTGATTTTGTGATACTATAAATAGACTGAAATAATTGCAAAGATGGTATATTTATTCAATAGGTACAAACTAGTGTTGATTTTCTTAAACAAGGCAATGTTAAAATGATAAGATAATTTACTTATTTATGACCTACAAAGTATAAATTTGTACATTGCCACCTGGAAAACAAATTCCTTGAAAACTTGACATTTTTTGGTGCATATAAGTGAATATTTATCCTAATTATTTAGTAGTATCATTTGTCATGTTTGTATTTAATTGTTGAACATGTACCTAGTGCTTTCTTTTATTGTGTTGTAATTCCTACCACAACAATGCCACTCATAAGTCATATCAATCATTTTCAGTTGAAGTTCCACATTGGAGGATAAAAATGTATACAAATCAGTGGGGACTTGAAGGAACAGAGGTGAGTCAACACAAGTTTTGCACTAATGTATTATACCACTTCTTGTCCGGGTTCATGAAATTGAAAGTTGACTCAACATGCTAAATAATTTTATATCAGATTTTTTCATCACAAAACCTGTAATTTTGCTCATTTTTGATGGACGTTCAAATACAAAGAACATTTTATATGATGCATACATGTTTTTTGTCGCTTGAATTCTTCAAATACAATAACACTTTTATTGTAGGTAGATAATTGATTAGTACAGTATTCTTATATTAAGTTACACAAATCAAGACCATAGAGTTAAAGTATATATGTAAAAAAAATTTTGGAGGAAACTTGACTTCTGTGTGTGGATAGAAATTTCAATCTGATTAAAATATAGATCGTGTGTCAATGCTTCTGATAAAATTTTGTTCTACTTCCGGTTTTGATAAATATTAGATCAACCTATGAAATTTCTGCCTCCAAATTTTTTGAAGGTGTGAATCATTATGACAAAACCTGAAGGTCTTCACAATAGAATGTAAGATCCTTGTAAGCCCAGCGTGGACACTGTATTTTAATCAGTTGGATAAAGTTTATATATGATTTTACTCCAAAGATTTGGTAATTAGTCCCCTACCGACAAAGTCGAAGGGGACTTTAGGTTTGCACTCCGTCTGTCTGTCTGTCTGTCTGTCCATCTGTCCTTCTGTCCATCCGTCAGTCCGGCAAATCAGCTTTCCACACTTTTTTTCTTCGTTCTTGAAGATATCGATTTGATATTTGGTATATAGTTTTATCATGACAAGTTATAGATCAAGTTCAAATCTTTAACCATTATTGAGTTATGCCCCTTTATAAATCGAAAGATTGCAACCAAATGTTATGAGACTTACACACAATCCTTATTACCACAAAACTCAGATAAAGTTCAAATTTGGGTAGCGTCACTTTTACCGTTCTTCAGTTATGTCCCTTTATAACTATATGCTATGCAAGCGGGGCATCATCTGTGTCCACATGTGGACACTATCCACATTTATTTTAACATCAATAACTTAATTGAACAGTTATGGCATCTTACAAAAAACTTAGACACAGCTTCTTCATACCTGTATGTACAAAATGTACCAGTATGTCATAACCAAGAGATGGAGTGATAAATACAGATCATAATTTTGAGAATATTATTTAATTGACAACATTTTAAACAGTCTTGGGATTCGGTTTTTAAGACATCAATAACTTTCTCACACTTTTAAATTTTGGACAGAAGATACTTCATGATCAGTAGATTGCATCTCGGGGTTGGCAAAGTATTACCCGGGCGGGAAAACCCGGGTTTTCCCAGGCTGGGCAATACTCCCAGAAACGGGTAATACTGGGCAATACTTGGCAATACTGGGTAATATGATTTTTATTCAAGCTTATTTTTACACAAAATAGTCAAAACTTGTTGTAGTTTAATAGTATTATAGCTAAGTATATACATTTTATACAGATAACCATTGAAAGTCATTCCTGAAGATTGAAAATTCAATTTTTACCTTTTCTCCACTAATTCTATGTAGGCAGAATACAAGTTTTGCACATTTCAGAATGATTCATTCAAAAGCATATGTTTTTGGTTAAAAAAAAACTTGCATAGACAAACTGCAAACTTTATATTTATCACATCTTGAATATTATCTATATGTAATAAAATATTATTTTCAGGTTGGTAACTGGAAACACATCACATTCTATACTTGTAAAGATTAACTTTATATCATTTGCCAACAATTTATTATTATCCTTTTTGTTTATAATAAAAATTGTGTTTTGAAACATTTTATAGAATATGGAAGATGAAATTTATACAAAGAGGCACACTAAACCAGAAATAGAAGAAAAGAGAAGAAAGAGGTGAAATTACTATTAAATTTATGTGTTATTGTATGAGAAAATCTCTTGTTTAAACTCAGATCTGTTAATGAAATACAAAATATCAAGACACTCTAGTTTCATCTTTTTTAGCTACCTGTGTAAGCTATTGTCATCACTTGGCCTCTATTGTTGACTTGTCTTCCATCCTCTCACTAGTAGTCCTGTGGTACCTTTTACAAAAATTTCTGTAACTCCTGAGCCAATTGGAACCAAACTTGGCCACAATCATCCTTGAGGTATCAAGTTTAAAAAATGTCTGATAATCTTGCTTAACAACCAACATAAATACCACTACATTGACAACAACACTTAAGTAAACTGCATTTTACTTAAGTGCTGTTGTCAATGTAGCGGTATTTGATCTTTTTATCTGACAACCCTGCATACCATCTGATATCCACTTAAGGGAACTCTACCAGCACAAAACATAGGAGGCGTTGGTTCAGCAGCTCTTTATTTATTAACCAACATAAATGTAAAATTCAAGTATTGTCTATTATTTTTAGTCCCCTTCCGACGAAGTTGAAGGGGACTTTAAGTTTGCACTCTGTCAGTCTGTCCGTACGTCTGTCCATCCGTCAGTACGGCAAATCAGGTTTCCACACTTTTTTCTTCGTTCTTGAAGATATTGATTTGATATTTGGTATATAGTTTTGCCATGACAAGTTATAGATCAAGTTCGAATTTTGTTCCTGTCTGATGATTAAGTCCAGAGTTATGGACCATATCTAATGTTAGAGTACTATGTTAAACCATATTTCTGTACAAAGGGAGATAACTCATTTTTAAAAGACATTCTTTGGTAAATTATTGGAAGAATTTTTTAGCAGGTTTGTTTGTTATTTTGTATAAACTAATTTTCTGAATGCTATATATATATATTAAAAAAATTATGAAGTGAAATCCTTTAATTAGATAATAATCTATTTTTATTAATTATTAATGTATATATAACATTACATTGTGTAGATAAATATTGTTGACATTTTATAGATAAGTTACAAATCTATATTAGTTATAGTGACATACAGATCAAGTTCGAAATTTTGTGCAGAGTTATGGTCCTTGGACTTGAAAAATTCACTCAATTAATCAGTTTTCCACCCTGTTTTTTTGTCATGCTTGAAGATATTGACTTGATATTTTCTTTTTGTTTACACCATGACAAGTTATAGAACAAGTTAGCTTTTTGTTCCAGTATAATGAATTTTTACCCGGTAGGGGACTATGTATTGCCATGCAATACTCTCAGAATGCTTGTTTAAACCCATATAAATGGATCTGTCTGTTCATCCATGTATCTGTGTCTTCCTACAAATGATGTTTGTGCTATATCTTGAGTACATCTTTGAGTTGTTAAATTGATAATACTTATTATGAATGTTTACCACTATAAAATGTGTTGTGAAAAAAAAGATTTAAATCACTAGTTTAAAGGTCAAAGGAACAAAACTTAATAAAAAGTAGCCCACACAAGGTGCATGTGTTCAATTTATATCTTGAAACCCCATTTTCAGCATACCCTCTCATATTAAAACAGTTTTCATTACAGAATTGTGAGAACATTGTTTGAAAAAAATTAATTACATTCATCTTAATCAGAAAAAAAAAACAAAAATTTTGTTATTTCCTACAGTGTAAATCAAATTCCTTATAACAACTTTCATACATTTTAGATGGGATTTGCAAAGATCTAGAGAGCAGGCTGCATATGAGAAATTGAAAGAAAAAGAAAAAGGTGCTGATGTTCCCATAGAGGAAAATTCAAATTCTGTTGAATCATTTTATCCTTCTCTTGATAACAGTAAGTAGTTACAAGGTTCTCTACACATCTAACAGTGATTAACTTTCCTGCTGAGTGAGCAAAACAAACAAAAAAGCTGCAAGTTTGTCATGCTAAGCATACACAACTCATAATTCAAAATATAATAAAACAGGAAGTAAGTGTCTAACAGTTCCAAAATGCACTCGCACATTACAAGTAATCACTGTCAAGCTGCTGATCAAATAAGTCAATCAGTTCAGTAGTAAAAGAGAGATGTGCCACAAAAATGTTAATTTCATTTGTCACAATAGAAAATTCAAAGTATTGGTAAACAGGAAGTAGATGAGTGACATACCTGAAAAGTGCTCACATGTTAAATCTCATAACCGTCAAGCTGCTGATTAGTAACAGTGAAAAGTGTGACAAAAATATTTATGGATGAATGGATTAACAAGGTGATTGCAAATTAGCCACCACTACTAGGTAAAACAAAAAAACAACATATTTTCACAGGACTGATTTTTGTCAATTCATATGCAGCATTTTTCTCTGCAGACATTAATTTTTATGTTAAAGGCTCCACCAGAAACCAAATGACATAGAAGTTAACATCTATCTGTCACTGTATGGCCTTCAATAATGAGCAAAACTAATACTGCATAGTCAGCTATAAAAGGCTACAAAATGACAAATGTAAAACAATTCAAACAAGAAAACTAATGGCCTGATTAATGTACAAAACTGAAACAAGAGGCTGTCAGAGTGACAGCAAACCGGATTTCCTGCAGAGGTCAAACCCTGAACAGTTGAGCAAGTATGGACACTACATTTAAGCTTAAAACAGCTCTGAATTTGGATTGTGATTGAAAATTTGACACAGCATAGGTTTGTGACACAAAATGAATGTGGTCAAAGAACTGAAAAATTTGAAATTTGAACATTTACCTATTATGGTCTAATATCCAAAATCTAAGTACATTGTTAGAATCAGCATATCAAAGAACCCCAAGCATTCAATTTTTGATGAAATCAAACAAAAGTTTAATTTAGGACCCTTTGGACCTCAATGTGGACCAATTTGATAAAGGAGCCCAAAATCCAAAATCTCTAAATACAAGGTTAGATTCAGCATTTCAAAGAACCGCATAAATTCAATTTTTGATGAAATCAAACAAATTTAATTTTGGACCCTGATTTGGACCAACTTGAAAACTGGGCCCAAAAATCCAATATTTAAATACAGGTCTAGATTCAGCATTTGAAAGAACCCTATATATATTCAATTTATGTTGAAATGATGATGCCCCCGCTTGTATATAACATTATAAAGGGACATAACTCAAGATTTAACTTTCATAACATTTGGTTGAGGCAAACTTAAGTTAGAGAACAGAAACTAAAAATTCAGCAATTTTTCCATTTGTAAAGTTGGCAGCCGCCCACCCGCCGTACATCCCCAAATCTTCGAAAATCGGGTTAAAACAAGTATGATATACAGCATCAAATGTCAACCACTTAATTACAGGCTACTGAATTGGGACAGGCACATACAGAATGTGGCAGGGTTAGTATATTTGATGAATTAATTTTAGCTAAAAATTCTCCTTACCTACAGTTTAGCCTTGACAATTCCCATTTGATTGAGAAAATTTCAAGATATTTTGTCATTTGGGAAAATCTATTTTTTCTTTTCTTCAGTTACTCATTTAGAAATCACAGATAAAATTCCAGTGATGGTGTTTGGTCATGGAATACCAAAAATGGATGCTACGTAAGTTTGATTAATAAATACTGTTACCAATTTTTTATGGCCCCGCAACAAAGTTGGCGGGCCATGTAGTTTTACCCTTGTCCGTCATTCCGCAACAAACCATTATACACAATTTTTTTTCTAAACACCTTCAGATATTGGGCTGATTTTTGTTATGTGAGTTAACTATGATGTGTTACAGATCAAGTTTAAGTTTCATTCCGCTCTGCTAATTTTTGACGAAAAAACAGGCTTTGGACTTTGATAAATTGTTGAAAATCACAGTTATACAGACTTCTTTTTTAAACGCCTTCAGATATTGGGCTGATTTTTGGTATGTGAGTTAACCATGATGAGTTACAGATCAATTTTAAGTTTCGTTCTGCCCTGCTAATTTTTGCCGAAATTAGGGAATTTAGACTTTGATAAATTGTTGAAAATCACAGTTATCCGGCCTTTTTTTTTTTAAACGCCTTCAGATATTGGGCTGATTTTTGGTATGTGAGTTAACCATGATGAGTTACAGATTGAGTTTAAGTTTCATTCTGCTCTGCTGTATTTTGCAGAAATTATGGGTTTTGGACTTGAAAATTGTTGAAAGCACAGTTATACAGACTTTTTTTCTATACGCCTTCAGATTTTGTGCTGATTTTTTATATGTAAGTCTACCATAATGAGTTACAGATCTAGTTTATGTTTCGTTCCGCTATGCTGATTTTCATGTTGTTTCAACAAATCTTGTTAGATCTGCAGTACATCCACTGCCTGTTTGCTGATAGTTTGAAATTTAAGGTGGTACCCATCACCTTGACTAATACTAATTTGGCTCGTTTAATTTTACTAAAATTTTGACAAAATGTTTACTTTGACCCTTTGACAAAAATATAAAAATTTCAAATAATTTGAACCAACCACTTTATCAGAAAAATTTCACTGGTTATATAGCAGTTTGACAAACACTTATTTTGATCATTGAGAAGTTGATATTTCCTTAACAATACAACATGATTAAAACTTTTAGCTGATTTTTATAGAGTTATCTCCCTGTAGTGTTAGGTACCACCTTAAATACTCATTGATCAAGGAAATTTTTCATCAAACTAGTATTGGTCTTGAGAACTGGATACTATCCATGCATGTTTGTGTCCACATGTGTTGTTGAAATTGGAGATTTTACGACTTTTTGAGACGGGGCCATTTGTGTCGTTCCGACACATCTAGTTTATTACGAATTGTCTTTTCAGTTTTTAAAGCATTCTGAATAGTATTTTTGAAAGTATATTTGTTTAAAACATGCCAACCAATGGAATTTCAATTATGATGCAACATTTAATTTTTGGGTATGAACAATCGGGTAACCCGTAGTCCTTTCGATTCTGAAATGAGAAAATAATTCTAATACAATTTCTATTATCCTTACGAGGAGAATTTTCTAAGCCTTGGTATCTATGTCTGTTTTTATTACTATTGTTAGACATTGAATGTCATACAGATATCTACAAGATACATAGTAAAATAGGTAAATGCACATTCTGAGAGGACTATGTGCTACTTGACCAAAAAATAACAAGTTTCCCTTCCAAGGAAGTTTAGATCTGAGTTACTTTATTAACTTGAATTTCATTAAAGGTAAGCACATCATATTGAAATATTTGTACGATTCGATTCAGGGTTCACCAACAGATACGAAAAGTTTTGAAGACATTCCATGAATAGCTCCCGGTGTTATTTACCTCTTTGTTACATGTTATACTTTTTGGTATATAAATGTCGTCACTTTTTTTGCAAGTTCTGTTAAAAAAAAAATCATGAAATTTCTCTTTTGTAGAGGTTTCAAGTTGCCTTGGGATGTAAATATGAAGAAAGGACATAGTCATTTACGCACACGACACACAAGGAATACATAACACAAATGTGGTGCTACAGATGTATTCACCAGCCATTTCAAGACATGATTCATAATCAGTGACCAAAGCTAGAATCTTGTTGTTAATATTTTTTATTGTTGTATTTAATTTATATTTGATAGTAAATATTTTTGTTGCTTTGTGTTCGGGTATAAGTGATAACGACCCTGTGTTTTATTGTATAATTAATTTCTCAAATTGTAAGCTTATTTGTTCCATGATAAAATTTTCAAGCTATCAAAATTGTAATCCTACAAAAGGGGAAGACATCTCAGTTAAAAAAAAAATCATAATGGGGTGTAGTATCTTTAAGCATTTGATTGCAAAATTTTTTAAATAAGATTTTTGATTAAAATACAGAAGCCTCAGTATTTTTATAATAACTTAAATAGCTTAAAAACAAAAAGGGGGAGAGGTAAATTAAATATTGGAAGAATCAGTCCTTTGCACATACGACAGGGGTTGAGCAATCTGATTGAAAACCAATGCAAGATATGTTTGCTGCTTGTGAAAGATCTGAAAAAACTCCATATTAAGTGGTCATATTCAGTGACCTTTCAGCATCTGATATTTTCTGTGGACCTCAGTAATTTTTTTTTTTTTATCAAATTGTGTTAAGTATGTTAGCAGGAAAAAGCCAGCATGTGGCTTGAAATGATTGGCTGGATAAAAATTTGCATAAAAAGTCATCCAGATACAGACAGGACCCTTTACTTGCAGGGATCACCATGACCTATTGAAGCGTGGCAGTGTGCCATGCTTAAATTTCTAGCGTCACGCTAAAATTTCCAGCACCACGCTCATTTTATAGTCCGCCACACTTGCAAATTCAATAGATTGAAGTTCAATTCAAGATATCCCTAATCTAATTATCATGTCAGTGGCAATTAGGAAATATAATTAGTGTTTAATGGTGTGAACACTGCCTCAGGGGATGTACATTGACAGCTGATTGCATTATTTACATTGTCTCGCGTGGTTGAACAAGGTAACATCCAATGAACGATCATGACCCAGTTTCTTCAAATTGAAAAGTAAAAATTGTTTGCAAACTATTCTTTAAATACAAATGCTTGACTATACCTGAAATACCTTAATGGTATGTGTATATATCCAAACAAAATTGATAAAAGCAGTATAATTCAGAAATCAAATGAATTCCCTGACCACATGTTTTCTTTTTGTTTACAACCATGTCAAATGTGTACTTTTGGCGGGGAAATACCTAAATACCAGACAACACTGTCTGGTTATTTATAGACATTTAAATAAACAGCTAAGCTGTGCCATTAAGGAAAATAGTTAAACTGGGTATATATAATTCCTTAATCAGTAATCTATATCATTTTATTGGAAATCAAAATTTGTCATGAAAGAAAGTTCTTTCAAATAATAAAATTGTATAATGAATACTTTATCACATGAAAAGCAATATTTGGATCCCTCATTTGTTCCTGAAATCTGGGAAGCCATATAAGGGTTTTTAACTTCTCTAATAGGTTTCTTAAAGTGTGGTGACCAAAAAATGTATGCGAGACCCCCTTTACTAATACATATTAGCTATATATGAAAACAACTTGTAAGGCAGAAAGTAAACATATAAGGAACGATTCAACAATGCAACCCACCATCTCTGATTTGATGAAGTTTTTCCCCCACCCTTTATTTTCATTCTGTGGTGAACCCTGCTTGGTGTTTTCAGAACTTGCAGAGGCAACAAGCAAATGTAAAACAGCAAAGTGAAAATGATATACAAGTTGTATTGTTATTTTTTCATGTGTGTTGTTCAAACATTTTCAAGATTAGCAAGCATTTGGTTGATCCTTGCAAACTTTCACTCACCAACATTTTGTTAATATAGCCAAAGTTTACAGAACTCTGTGAGAATTTCTTTTCAAATAAATTTCCCAAATAGATCATGTTTGAGACTTCTTTCAGTTGTGGAAGTCAGTCATCTTTGAATAGATGGGTGTCATAGTTCAGAACTAAATCAGTTGACCTTTATGAAAACCAACTGAATATCATGGAGAGAGAAATTTCAAAGAAATTACCAGAAATTGCAATTGATCCAACTTTATATGCATTGACTTAGCCTAACATACAAGAAGCCAACCAGCTAGCCTTTAAATTACAGTGACTGTCGACACAATGGTTTACCAATTTTTGAACAATTCAGCATCTAACTTCTCTTGTTTTCAAATAATTTGGAAGGTTCATTCATGGTTATAATCCTTGAAAATCAAAAAAAAAACTTTTATAAATAATACTACACAGCCACTAAATCATTCAGTCAGATGAGTGTATAGAATTACCTAATCAGCTTTGACATAGTAAACACTGCTAAATGTAAAGAACTGAGTAATCCTCAGACCAGTACATTGTTTTGAAATAATAAATAACAATATTTTCCCACAACCTTTGCTAAAGAAACAAAGGCACATGAACATTATTTTAGGAACAAAATGTTGCAAGATGCATAACAATTTTGGAAATTTACATGTAATTTATATTGTTGAAAACTATACAAAAACAAGTTGGTACGTCTTCAGTGATCCATGAATAGAGATGTCTGAACAATTTATTTTAAAGAGGAATGTAACAGACCTGCTTGATATTGAGTGTTTTTATAATCTGTCACAATGTAAGTCTTTTTTTCAAGAATAAAGATATTAAACCTTTGAATGTTTTATTTTTTTTTTATTCTTTATACTGAAATATTTTTAAATGGTTATCAGCTCCACCAGACAACAGGGACGATGGTATGGACCAATCAACAGCTAGGATTTTCTCATCATGGCCTGTCATGTTGTATAATGGGGCCTTTGGACTGAAATGAAAATGTTTGACTATTTATTTATTAAACTCAAGGTATCAGAGATATGCTAAATGATATATACATGTATAATAATTTTAGAGGTTATTCACTATATAAATAGAATTTCTATGCCTCTATAGTCACTATATCAAAATTTTATTAATTACAAGCATACAATTCTACAAGAAATCCTTGGTACAAGAAAGGTCTTATAATACCTGTATTTTAGTTGTTAAGCATGCCCAATGTCAAAGATGTAGGGAGTATTAAATCCTGTATGTTAATTCATTGGATGAATTTTGTGTATGCATGTAAATGGGTTTAAACAATCCAATGTGTTGTCTGCATCTCCAGTTGACGCAAAAAGAATATGAATCACAAGTGTTCTTTACAAAATAAAACATGACATACTAACCTTCTAGTATCCCAAAGTTTCATTACTGAATCATAAGAACCAGAAATAAACAGGAATTCGTTCGTCTTGGACCAACAAACACTTGATACCCATCCTGTATGTGATGTATATATACTCTTTACCAAAGCACCATCTGAAAAAATTAATTTTAATTTATAGTCAATTTCTGGCATATTATGCTTTATAATTCATGATACTGGTAAGGGAGCTACCATTTGATTTTTATGGGGGGCTAGGATGAAAAATTTTGTCCTGCCTTTTTATTTTTCCCTCTTTTCGGTCCTGCCTTTTTATTTTTCACTCTATTCGGTCCTGCCTTTTTTTTTTTAGTTTATCCTGACTTTTTTTTTACATAAATTGTCATCCTGTCTTTTTTTTTTGCAAATAATCTCATCCTGCCTTTTTTTTTACTCAAAACTCCTGTCCTGCCTATTTTTTCAAATTTTATCCTAGCCCCCCCCCCCCCATAAAAATCAAATGGTAGCTCCCTAATACACACATCACAGGAACAATGATCCTGTGTCATTTTTTATGCCCCTGCCGAAGCAGAGGGGGCATAAAGTTTTACCCTTGTCTGTCTGTCTGCATGTCCTAAAATTGGTTTCCGTTCTCTAACTTAAGTTTGCCTCAACCAAATGTAATCAAACTTATACACAATGCTTATTACCATAAAACACAGATCAAATTTGAATTTTGGTGGCATCACTTTAACCGTCCTACAGTTATGCCCCTTTATAAATGGAAAAATTGCAAAATTTTTCATTTCTGGCCAGAGAACACAGTTATTTTGTAGTGCATTTCTTTTAGACAATAAATTCAAATTAAAAAAATCGCACCTGCTCTATCTCAAAAAGATTTTTACAGTGTAGTGTACTACTATTAGGACAAATAATATCAAAATTATAGAATGTTCTACCAGCTCTAACTCAAAATATTGACAATTCTGTGTTAAGGGGGTCTAAAATTCAGTTTGACAGCTTCAGACGTACTAATTTTTGACCTTTTTTAACTGGACCAAATCACTACTTAACATAAAGATTCAGCACCCAAATTTTTTTAACATGTAATTTCATCCCCTTACTTAATATTTCATGCATTAAATATCAAGAAAAACATTGAGAAAGTGTATAAAAAAAAATGCAAGTTATACACTGTTCACACTAGGGACTATATTCGAAGACAACGAAACCAAAGGACGATAACTGTGTCCTTGAACTTATAGGACAGAAAGACTTGATCAATCTTAATAAAACTTTGCATGACCTAAGCTTATGGAATTATAAGATAGTTGGCCAAGTTTCATGGCCATAGGACATATATTATAGAAACTACGGTCATTTAAGTATTGACATTTGGATGTTTATTTTTGATGTTTAAATCAAATACTTTCAACTGTCAAGATTTTGGCCTAAAAAAATTAAATATTGCAAAAATTTGCTTTTTAAATGCTCTTGAATATTATATATTAAGTATTAAAAGCATCTGAACACTCATTTTATTTATCAGATTTATTACAAGTATTACAAAGTCAAATTTATATGAGCCTATGCCTGAAAATAGAGATTTTCGAATTAAGGGAAGCCTTACATAAACATGCATTTTTTTCAACCAATTTGAAGTTTTTTAACCATAAATTATTCTTTCTTATATATTAAATGTACTTTAAATGTAGAGAAAAGTTACAAAAAGCATACCACATGAGTATAAAATGGTCTTCGGCCATGTAATACTGAGAATTTTTTAGAGTCGATTTAGGACGTAGCCCATATTTACATATAACTAGAGGCTCTCAAGAGCCTGTGTCGCTCACCTGAATTTACTGATGCTTTGGAAATCATGTAAAATAAGGTTAAAATCATAATTAATAGTATTAGATATTAGATATTATAATGATGTCTAAGATAATAACAAAAAACTGCAAAATTTTTGTAAAATTACTAACTCAGGGGCAGCAACCCAACAACGGGGCGTCAGATTTGTCTGAAAATTTCAGGGCAGATAAATCTAAATCTGATGAACATTTTTGCCACCTGTCAGATTTGGTCTAAATGCTTTAGTTTCAGAGATATAAACCAAAAACTGCCTTTTACCCCTATGTTCTATTTTTAACTAAGTTGGCCATGATGGTTGGAAGGCGGGGTCATCGGACAAATTTTTTAAACTAGATACCCTAGATGATTATGGCCAAGTATGGTTAAATTTGTCTCAGTAGTTTCAGAGAAGAAGATTTTTGTAAAAGATTACAAAAATTTACGAAAAATTGTTAAAAATTGACTATTAAGGGCAATAACTCCTAAAGGGGTCGACTGACAATTTTGGTCATGACAACTTATTTGTAGATCTTACTTTGCTGCACATTATTGCTGTTTACAGTTTATCTCTATCTATAATAATATTCAAGATAATAACCAATAACTGCAAAATTTCCTTAAAATTACCAATTCAGGGGCAGCAACCCAACAACAGGTTGTCAGATTTGTCTGAAAATTTCAGGGCAGATAGATCTTGACCTGATAATCAGTTTTACCCTATGTCAGATTTAATCTAAATGCTTTGGTTTCAGAGATATAAGCCAAAATCTACATTTTACCCCTATGTTCTATTTTTAGCCATGGCGGCCATCTTGGTTGGTTGGCGGGGTCATCAGACACATTTTTTAAACTAGATACCCTAATGATGATTGTGGCCAAGTTTGGTTAAATTTGGCCCAGTGGTTTCAGAGGAGAAGATTTTTGTAAAATGCTAACGACGACGACAACGACGGACGACGGACGCCAAGTGATGAGAAAAGCTCACTTGACCCTTCGGGTCAGGTGAGCTAAAAATGCACACAGAAGCTATAAGAAATGACAATTTGTTACTTTTTGCTCGTTTCTATGCTAAGGTGTCATGATAAAAGAAGTCTAATTGCAAAAGGACTCTTGTATTTAACTTTTTTGCAGACAGTATGGTCTGATGACCAGTTTTTTTCACTTTTCAATGGAAAGCTTGCATGTAGTTTTAGTCTCAATTGGCATATATTTGGACCACTTACTATCCTAAAGAAGAAACTTATGGTAGCATATGAAATACATAAGGTGTACTGATCATTGTAAAGTGCTTTTTTTTTACAGATTTAGTGAAATATTTGTGATGGACTACAGATTTTATGTACAAAGCTCTTCACATTTCACATACATCAAACATGCCGTTTAACCAGGGCCATAAATACAAAATATTCTGCACATTTTTTCTGTGATAATCTACTTTTCTCTAGATTCAGAATTCACAAATGGTTAATTAATTTGATTTTAGCATAGAAACACAAATATCAGGAACAAAAAAGCTGTCAGATAGAAAGTCAGCATGCCTCTTAGGCATAAAATGCAAACTGCTTTAAAATGCTTATTTTAGCTGTTTAATGCCAAAATGGGACATTTTAACAGAATTTCTGTCAACCAAAGATGTAAATCCTTTACTTTTATTGAGTTTGACAAATTGAAACCAGCAAACCATTCAGGAAAGTTGCCAAAGTACAGAATATACATTTACGGAATCTATCTCTTAGGCCTGAGAACACAGTTATTTTGTAGTGCATTTCTTTTAGACAATAAATTCAAATTAAATAAAATGCTTCGCTGGGGCGCAGCTTGATACGACCGCAGAGGTCGAACTCTGAACAGTTGGGGCAAGTATGGACACAACATTCAAGCTTGATACAGCTCTGAATTTTGATTGTTACTAAATATTTGACACAGCATAGGTTTCTGACACAGAAAGAATGTGGTCTAAGAACCAGGCCTCTACAATAACTTTTTTTTCAACTTGTCCAGTAGGACAAGTACATACCAAAACTTACTTGTCCGAATGAAATTGTAACTTGTCCAAAAAAAATCTTAATAATAACCTTTTTTGCATTTTAAGTTGATTGAGTTAAAACAATAGAACAGAATTTGATTTTAACATATCTTTTGCAATACTTTACAAAAATATGAGTCGAGAACAACTGAATCTAGTCATGTCACAGGACTTAGGTTCTAGTTTTCATCAATGCCAAAGTCTCATCAGACTCTGCACATGAGGCACCGTCTGATAGGATTGCCAATGTACACTCATTGGATTTGTATCCTGGTTTTTTAATTTGAAAAAAGTTTATTTAATGCAATCAATAAAAAAAGGAGATGAGGTATGATTGCCAATGAGACAACTCTCTGCAAGAGATCAAATGACACAGAAATTAACAACTATAGGTCACCGTATTGCAAGTATTGTTTTTTTCTACATACATGACATATGATCAAATATGATTTTGTGAATGTTATGGTCATTTTTATTTTAAAAATATTTTTGCTAAAAAAATTACCGGTATGGTATTTGTTATAAAGCAACAGAATAAGGTAGGAAAACGAGGTACTGATTTGTCTTGGTCCTGAAATGTCTCCTGCTTTACCAAACTGTCTATTAATTAT